CATTATGTGTATCACAACTTACCCGTGCTCCGAAAGTTGCCCGCCTTCGTGAATTACGTTCATTGCATTTGCATATCTTAGACGCACATAGGCTTCCGTACAAGCTAGTTCCGAATCCGTTTATTATAGTGGCTCTAAATAATGTTAAAGTTGCTCGCACAAAGGTTAAAACGGGATTGCATCCACTCTGGGATGAAGAATTCATTCTAGAGTACGTATGTGAATCTTATATGGATGAACTTGTTAATATATGAAATCCCTTTACGTTTATTATTTGCTTTCCAGGGATGTACCACCGGATGTTATGTCCTTCTCGCTCACTTTGTATAATAAAGGTAAGCGCAGCAAGGATACAGAGGTTGCTGATCTGACGGTTGAATTGGCGAGTTTGACTAATGGAGAAGAAATGGATGAATGGTATCCATTATCAGGAGTGACACCAATCGGAGAATGGGGCGCACTGCGTTTACGCATACGGTAAATATTAAAAATATTTACTTACACAGATTTTTACTCTAGATGATGCAATATGGTGTATATAAAAAATATCACAGTTTTATATATGTATATAATTTTTTATATTATATATATGTATCATATATGTACATATATATAAAAAATCTTATATATATATATATAAATAAAAATATCCTTATTACAGATATAGACACGATTTAGCTATGCCTCCTGAGGAATATAGTCCCCTTCAGCAATTATTATTAGATCCAGAATTACATGTTGTTAAGGCATTAGCAGATGTATGCCACTTAGATAGAGTACCCTTGGCAAATAGTCTTCTTAGAATCTTTAGGTACAAATAATTATATCCTACAATATTATTTAATTACAAATAGATATCGCGCAGATTTTGATATTGTTGATTTTATAGACATGAAAGAAAGGAGTCGGATCTTCTGCGATCATTAAATCAAGCTGAAGTGAGTTGTAGTTTGATACATAAACAAAAAATATTAAACATAATAAAATCATAATTATAAAATATATTTTTATTAGGTTGAGAAAGAAGATGAAACACCAACTCTGTTTAGAGCTGCCAGTCTTACTACCACTTTAATGGATTTATATATGAAATCTGTTTGTACTTCATTTTTAAAAGCCGCTTTGCGTGATACGATCGTGAAATTAATCGAGAGTAAACAGAGTTGTGAGTTGAATCCAACGAAAATGGATTCTCCAGAAGATGCGTGCAATAATGCAGAATTTTTGTTACAGGTATATAATTTCTTGTAACAATGTATTACGCGTTAATTAATGCGATTAACAAAATTAGTAGAAACGCATATTTTCTTGGTTTAGGTATTGGATGAAGTTACATTAAGTATCTTCACAAGTCCTGATGCTTGTCCGAGAACTCTAAGATATATTTGTGGATGCTTACAACGAGCAGTCGTTGCTAAATGGCCACACGAAAGACTAGTCAGAACTCGGGTTGTCAGTGGATTTATATTTCTACGCCTCCTCTGCCCTGCCATATTGAATCCTAGATCATTTAATTTAATAGCTGAGCCACCACCTCCATCTGCTGCAAGGTATAGGATACATAAATTAAAAGTAAATTTAAAAAAGCAGTATGTGCATTAAAATCACAACCAAATGTGAAATATATATATATATATATTTGTATAACTTGTATATCATTTTAAATATTTTTGTTTAAATGTTATCACATATTAATTAACTACGCTAATTATTTAAATTATTTAATAGATCATTAGTCATGGTGGCGAAATGTCTACAAAATCTGGCCAACTTGGTTGAATTTGGTGGAAAAGAACCATACATGGAAGTTGTAAATCCATTTATCCTTAAAAATAAAGAACGAATGGTAGTGTTCCTTGACCAGCTGTCTGTAAGTACATTTTGTATCTATTTCAATTTAATATATTCCATATGTGTATTTGTGAACAATTCTTGATGCAATATCGTTTAATGCAAATTGTGATGGATATAATAAAAAATGAGAAGATTGTATTTAATTTATACAATATAATGTTGTGTGTGCAGAATGTTGCTGAGAAACCAGAACCATCAGAAGCTACGGATCTAAGAACCAAAAGCGTATCAGACACTGCGAGAGATTTGGCGACGTTGCATCATATATGTGTTTCACATTTGAAGGAACTTCAAGTTCTGTCAAAGACACAGGTATGTCTCTAATCTATAGTCACGAAAATGTGCACGAGGATGCATATGCTTAAAAATTACATTTGTTACTTACAGCCGACCATTAAACAGCTGGTGACGGTGACTGAAATGTTAAGCAAACATAAGCAGAAGTATATGGAAATGATACGGTAGTGCTAGAACCATCAGCCACGAACAATGCCAAACACACAATAAAATGATTTATAAAATTTAATGATGTGCGCGCTGATGACGTATAGTAGTATTTAATAATTACGATTAAGTAATTAAACGTAACGTTACAGACTGACGTGCCATATATATTACTGTATACACTCAAGCCTACATTTACTATTTCATATGTAATTAGAAGTTAGTTTATTATATTATAGTGACAGTAACATGACAGTGATATAGGTACATACAGAATTATATAGAGACATATAACAATTTTATATTTACTTAGGTGCTCGAAAATAAATACAACTTTAATCGAAATATCTTGATCTTTTAGTAATTCTAAGTCCATTGCCCCGAAAGTATTGGAGCGTATATCACTTAATTAAATTTCTAAATAAAATATTTGCAATTAAAAACGATGTGTGCAATTAAGGTCGATAAAATATAAACTGTATATTATTTATAGTATATTTCAAAAACAGATATAACTTTGTCATGAACATTTTGATATCGTATATATTGGATAATATGAAATATATTAAATACAAGTTTATATATGTACCTTAATACATTTGAAGAATTTCAATAAATACAGGCAAAATTGACATATAATCGAATTTTACATAAAATTTTTTCATCTACAAATTTCGATTGTAATATAGCTGAAACGTGAATATTGTTAAATGATTTTATTTATAAATGATTTATTTTTATCTAAAGGCTCGTATCAATGATGAATTAAAAGGAATTAATGAATGTAAAAACTTTTATATAGTTATTAGAAAAGTAAATAGTATGGATGAGCTATAACAATCTCATAGGCAAGCATTCAACAAGTGAATGCATATAACAAACAAGTTTTTAAAAAGTTTTATTACGAAATTCAATTATGTAAAAAAATGATATCTATTCTGTGTATATTTATACATACATTTTCATTTTAGCTGAAAACATTAATATTAGAAAATACTATATGTATGCGCGAGAATATGGAAGTTGTTTGCATTGTTTAATGAAGAATTTAACCCTTGATTGCTTCTTGAACATATAGAATCTAGCCGTCAATATTTACGTTGTACGTTGATTGAAGAATAAATTCATTGTATCGAAATTATTTTATTGTCAGAAAAAAATACTCAATTAACTTGAGTACTATATGCTATGTTTATCATTTATAATAATTTTACTGAACTATGAGTATATCGCAATCAATCATGATTTTATATATATATATATATGTATATTTATAAAAGTACAATAGAATAAATATATGTGTGTATATGTATATATTTGTTCTATTATGTGTATATATACTAGAGCTCACTATCATACGTTTAAACGAAAATACGTTTATACGTATAATTAATATATCTGTTTATTAGAAACGTTTTTCTGAATATACGTGTAATTAACTATTATACATTTAAATGAAAACACGTTTACATATATAATTAGCATATTCGTATGCTAATTAAACGTGTAAACATTTTTCTGAAAGTAAATATAAACGTTTTACGTTTACACGTATATTCGAAAAATGAAATAAAATTAGAGCTCTAATATATACATATTTAATTTATTATATTTGTATGAATGTAAAATACTATAGTATACAATATTATGTTGAATTAGCAAATTATTAGTAAAGTAGAACCGTAAGATTATTACTGTCTTAATTCTTAATAACAGTATCTAACTTACGTTTCTTCTTAAAATTTAGGAGAGAAGAGACAATAGTTTTAAGTGATATACTTCGTAAATTCTTATATAAACTGTAGAGAAAGATATTTATAAACATATATTAGCAGAAATATAGCCTTCTTATGATAAATTCGCTATCTCTTTATAATAAATGTATAGTTAAATATTAAGCCTTTGGTTAATAATATGTTAGTAGCATGAAATGTTAATACAGGAAAGCGATGTTCTCCTGTTCAAATTTAGTTGGCATGCAATTTTATTTTGGTAAACAATAATCATTATTTGATTTATGTCTATTTCTAAATTGTACCAAAAAAATAAATTGCTTAGAGAATACAGTTGTATCGTGTACTCCCCTCTCCTCCCCCTGCGTTTTCTATATATCTACCAAATAAAGTCTTATTTAAAAATTGCAGTACACTTAATCACAGTACACTTAACTAATTCGCTTGATGTACTTAAGAATATCTAATCACAGCATATAATGAATTAAGTTTGTGATATCGTTTGTGTGATTTAGAGTTTCTTTGTAAAATGATAATTTTAGTTACTTGGCAATTATTTTATATACAAAATGACAATAGTACAAAACTTAATTCACAAGTTCTAAACAATTAAAACATTCATATTGAATAACTTTTTTTACTAATATATTGCTGTTTAATTAAAATTCATTAGTGCAATATGTGATTGATGGCATATATCACTAAATCTATAAAATAAACATTTGCTATATATATATATATATATTTGTCACATTTTATGTCACATGTTATGTTTCGTTATTTCGGTCTATTTGTCTTATGATAAATTTTCTGTGTTATAAAGACGACTGGGTCCAACACTTGTCAATATTAGAGTAAAATTTGGTGTAATATTTTCAAACTAATTGTAATTTTGCAATTTTATGTATATATATATATATATATATATATATATACATAAAATTCAATGCTTTGTGACAACATTAAATATATTGTAATTAAAAAGATCAATGTTATTCAATATCATCTTATTCAATCAAGGGTTAAGACGCTTCAGTTATGGAATTGCATGGCAAGCTGCCAAGTTAAACATTCTTATATGCAACATAAGCCCATTAGTAAAAACGTACTATTAGGTAATTTGTTCTCTCTCTCTCTCTCTCTCTCTCTCTATGTATAGAAAAAATTGTGCTTGCAATCATTACAATATTCTATAGGATAAGCTGTAAATGTTTGTGCTGTGAACATAATGTAAGGCTTTTCATATCTTATTTACGCGTAGTAGTCGAGTAAAAGTAAATTGGTGTTATCCAAAGACTTATAAAATAAAGCATCGACGTTTCTTGTGTCCACTACTTCCAGGTGGTTTACCTGTACGTTCTTTATCTTTTCGTATTTCTCTGACCTGAAATGCATGACAGAACTTGAAATTTTTCGTGAAATTCTTTCAAACATAGTTATGAAATTTTCGGTATATGAAAATATATTACAAGTATTATCATGCTACTTGAAAGATATGGAGAAGGAAAAAAGTGTTTGCTCACCAAAGTATAAAATGCATCGTCTACACCCATTCTCGTTTTCGCAGAAGTTTCTACAAATGGCACACCATACTGTCGCGCGACCTCTCTCGCTTGAGTCATGTTTACCGCCCAAGACTGTTGAAGATCACACTTATTTCCCACTAAAACCATTGGAACTTCTTCCGCATCTTTCACTCGTTTTATTTGTTCCCTATACGTTCCAATGTCCTGTAATCCAATGTCAAACATGTAATAGTTATTTAAAAATCATAAATTAAACAGTTTCTCTACCTAACATACCTCAAAACTTTTAGCCGAGTTTACGGCAAACACTAATAAAAATCCTTCGCCTGTCCTCATATACTGATCTCTCATTGCACTATATTCTTCTTGTCCAGCTGTGTCTAATATATCGAGAAGGCACGTTTCACCATCGATCACTACCTGTTCAACACACATACACGCACACACACACACACACACAAGCACACATTTTAAGATATATTTAATATAAAATGAAAAACAGATAAACTGTAACTTTAAATTTTCTAGATTTCTACATTATTAAAATATATTCTTTACTGATTAGATCTAACAATAATTCAATGTGAAATAAGTGATTATAGAAACGTTATTATTGGAAGTTATGGAGGAAATTAAGTTGATGTGTTTACTTGTTTTCGATATGAGTCTTCGATTGTTGGGTCATACTCATCGACAAAATGATTCTGTATGAGTTGAATGGTTAAAGCAGACTTTCCAACACCTCCAGCTCCAACTACCACAAGCTTGTATTCCGTCATGATGTAGTTTTCTTAACACAACTTAGGATTTGTATTATTTCTCTCTGATCACTTCTTCAATTGTCTGCTGATAATAAATACAAGACTGTGATATAATTACGTACAATATATACATGCTTTGTTCATATTAATTTAATCTTTTTGCTAAGAATTTTTACGCAATTTATTATATATATAATATATATTAAAAAGTCTTATTTAAAATAATTAATTTTTTGTAGAAATCTCATTAAACAGATAAGATAAAATAAATATAAGTAAATTAAGAACATGTATTGATATCCATCAAGATGCTACAAATAAAGAAATGCTCAATATAATTAATTTTATCAATTTGTTATTAAAAAGAAAACTGCATTCTTCATATAATTTACTCTTCATACAGATAAAACAGTTTAATTTATCATATTATCCTAAGTGACACAATTTTAAAAGTTTTGAAAGATTAAACACGCACTTATCTATATATTGCAGTAGTAGGGGATATAAAAATTAATTGAAAAATGAAAAATGATTGTGTACAGAACAAAAATAGATGTTAACCGATTAAAGGTTAGTCAAGCATATTTTATCAATTACAACTTTTTATGTTTTTATCACTTATCGCGAATAAGGAAAAAACTTGGAAAAAAAAAAAACAATACCTTTGAATTAAGTTTGATTCAACTCTAAGAACAATTAATTATCTCTGTAGCATATCTTTTCATGAAATAAATATAATGGACAGTATAATTTGAAAGTTTTAATTGACAATTATTTAATAACAAATAAATTTATTTACAATCTCCAGCAAAATCTTTGTAATGGACGCTTATTAAGCATCAAATTTAATTGTGATATTACTACAGTACAGTATTTTAAATAAAAAAAATTTTGGTGTAGTTCAAATGACTACAAATATATATGTATGTACAGATTTGAACATGAAATTTATTTAACCATTAAAAAAATCCAACTTTCATCATCAAGAGCCTTTATTTCCTATTGGTTGTTGATAATTATCTCTCGCATTTGGCAGAGAAAGTAACTTTACAACTTGTAATTTCTTGTTGAATTTATACCTTTCTCTATTTTTTTCATCTATTTTTATTTACAGAATGCTAGTTTTTACGATAAAGGCAAGAAATGGAAATTAATGGGAGAAATGTATTGCGAAACGTACAGGTCAACACGGTTTAATGAGAGAAGAGCATTCAGTAGTGATAGTCTTCAAGTTGTTTAGCTTATTAAGTGACAGCCTAGTACCGTCTCTTACCCAACGTAATCATATAATCACTGGATATTAGTCATCCGCAATTACTATTAGGCGCGCGCGTGACATTCACCTTACGCGTAGATTATTTTTCGGTGGTAATTCCGTGTCTCTCCTGAACGGTTTTCGAACAAGAGGGGGGGGGGGGGGGGGAATAAAATAAAGGAGTGATATAAAATAAGCGGTCCTAACAATCGCGTGGCCGTGTGAGAAATGTGTGCGGATCTCGATTGCAGTCACGCGACGACCTCGGACGAGAAGGTGTTACTTGACTATCCTCGAGAGCTGCCTCGAGCTGAAGGAGAAGGTGATCGGCGGCGACAAGTCGGCATTGCTTCTCTCTGCGGTAAACAATCGCGACAGACGACGATGTCGAGAGGGGAAACTGAGAAAGAGAGTGTGCGAGAGAATGAGAAAGAAAGGGATGCGCGTTCGTGCATCTCGCCACTTACTGCGACTCAAGGGATGCTCATTTCACGCGTTTCATGAAATGGGTCGTTTGAAACGCTCCTCCTCTTCGTAGTAAGCAATGCACTCTAATCGCGTATGGTTGCGTATTAGTCACCGGAGATACCATCTGGAAAGGAGCATCGTCGCAGTGCTGCCAATGGTCCCTCCGTCCCTCGATGACAACGACAACGACGAGTACGAGTACCACGACGATCGCGCGGAAGTGTCGGGAAGGGTGGTCACCCCGCCGTCACCGCAGGTCACCAAACGAGCAGGTAACGGATCGCGCCCACAGATAGCGCTGATACTAGGCTAATGGCGAGTCATGTCAACAGATGGCGCGACTCTCATGAACTTTGCGGCGTTAGTTTCGTTTTTCAAAAATGATATATTTTCTAAAAATAGGCGTTCAGAAGAATATTTCCTGAAAGTTTTAAATCGATCCGACAAATATTTCCAGAGATACAGTCTCTTGCATTGTGCGCACACTCGACAGTGCGGCCTAATGCCGCGCTTTTTTGGGACAAAAATAGAAAATCACACATAAATAGTAAAATAAATCTGTTTACAATATAAAAAGAATTCACTCTTTATTGTAAATTTTAATTTTTCATATCAACAATGAGACTACTGTAGAATTTGAACGTTCGTGGTTTGTGCTCATTTCCGTGTCGCACGCGGAGAATTGCTAAGTAGGAGTTGTGCGTTGATGATCGTCATGAAATTAGTTGCGTTGATTTGCAACTAATTTCATGACGATCGCCAACACACAACTCCTAGAACTATATAGTTATATATATATAGTTCAGTTCGCGCGCGACACACGGAAGTGAGCACAAACCACGAACGTTCGACGCAATACTCTGTAAAGTAAACAGAGAGCGCAGCGGAGTACGCAGGAACGACTCGCAGACAAAGGCATATTAAGACTTTTGACGCTGCTACAGAAGAGCTGTTATATGGGCCTGGAATAAATGACACCATGTAAGTAGAGAAGAAATTCTTTTTAATACATCTCTGGTTTTAAACTCTAAACGCGTTTTTCTCAAAACTACATTTTTTAAGTCAATGAGCAAAATATCTCAAAAACTAATGAATCGATCTTTCTGAAATTTTTTTTACTTATTTTGGACATGAATATCTCGTACTTAATCGAAGGATTTATATTTTAAATGCGTAGTTTTTTTTTTTTTATATTAACGAAAAAGTATAATTTTTAAGGTAAAAATCAAAAACTTTTCTTTAATGAGCCACCATTTTACTTGCCACGGTAGCTCTTTCATAGTCCAATTGTTCGTGCAAAATTGATATCACTGTGCCATGCGATATGCCTGTGGCCTCAACAAGCTCGCGCACTTTCATTCGTCGATCAGTCAAAATATCGTGGACTTTATCGATGATTTCTGGCGTAGCAACCTCAATTGGACGTCTCGAACGAGGTGCATCATACGTGGATGTACGACCACGTTTAAATTCATTCACCCAATTGTATACACTCGCAAACGCTGGTTTGCTATACACATTATCCTCGGCTTTGATTTCTTTCGGTGTTAAACCTTTCATATGTAGATGTTTGATCACTGCACAAAACTCATTTTTTCCATTTTGCAAAAAAATACAAAGGTTGTTCGCTTTAGTCGTCTACAGAAATGAAATCTCTCGATCAATTCCGCTCAAAATTTGACAGTAATCAGCTGAAAGATGCTACTTGTCAAAAAGTAATGTGACATGACACTGCCCTCTAACAGATTTTCTACAAACTTATTGACTTGCTCTCGTAGATTAGAAGATATTTCAGATGGTAATGGTTATGTATAGGTGGTAATGTATAGGTATAATAATGATACCCAGCTAAAAGTGTATCATAATATGCGTATACATCTCTATCAATATTTCATCATTCTGGACTCCGCTTTTCATATGTTTGGTCCTCGATCATTAAATCCGTGTCGAGTCTGTGTTCTGAAATCTCGCAAGAGTCCCAACGGTATAGCTATGATGGTGAAATCAAAGATGATGTTTCCTCTTCCGGGATGCCCACGTAAATTGGATCACCTAAGCGGACCATTCCGCTTGGCCCTCGTAATCCAAGATGAATTCCCATAGCTGGACTGTCACCAGTTGAAGGTCGAATTTGCGGATCGATTATCTGTCTATAACTGAACAAGGCAAATTTTTTTTATTAGCAACACGAGGTAGTATTGTACTAAATTTTTCGACAACTTTTGCGTAAAATATTTTGTCAACTTTATGTGTGCTATATAATATTTTTTTAATATATACCAATTACATTGATTAAGGAAATCTTCAAAATATATTTTTAACAACACAACTAATACGAATACTATATAACATAAGTTTCGTATTCGTATTAGTTATGTTGTTACATTGACAGTCTTTAAAATAATATTTTTAACATACATACGTTTTCAAAGTCTTCAGAGGCTCTGCATTAGCATGTTTTGTGCCGGTTTCTGGATCTATGGTAGTAAAGATGCATCTTGTGCAGGGCCTAACGTTTCTCAGAATCACGTTCCCGATCTTTACCCAATCCCATTTATCTTCTTCAAAAGCTGTGGCGCCTTTAACCACGAAATTCATGCGAAAATTCTGTGGTGTGACTGGTTCATCTAGTCGGTTATTAAGGTCTGCTACTGAAGCTTCGTTGATCATACTAAAGCTTGTTTCGTCTGGATAGGCCCCCTGTAATATTTTTTGCAATTTTTAATTTAAGGCATTGTAATGAAATAATTCTTTATAATTAATTCAAAATTATTATATTTATACATATAATATACAAAATTGTATTTTCTATTTCGACAATCATATTTTTTATGACTTTCCTTGTGTGTTGTGTGATGTTATATAAACAACATAAAGATTTTCTTTTTTTGCATTATCGACTTGATAGATTATTTATATCGATATATTTATCATTGCAATAATAACGTTAGTGATAAATGCATGATGAAGGAAAGTCAAATTAGTCAACTTTGAAAGTTCATTTTTCGAACTGAAGATGGTGGTATTTTAATATGGTATTTTAACAATTATATAGCACAACTAAATTTTTTATTTGTTCGAGTTATTTCTACACATCGTCAATCGTGTGTGATTTTTATTATATGTCCGTTTTTTAATTATTAGTCAATTAGAAAAAATATTTCTGAAGAATGATTAGGATAGTTAGAAGATTGTTTAGATGTTCAAATATACACAATAAACAAATAAAATAATATAAACAGTAAACAAATAAAAATACATATTAATAATCATTTTATATCCTTTATCATTGCAGAATATTTACCGAGTCTATCTCTTGTAGTAAAGGAAATGCTTTTAGATTTCTCTGTCTCACTGATCTCACTGGTCGATCTAACGGATAATAAACCAGTCGACATCCGGCATCTTCCTGAAAAAGAAAACGCGACAGCCATCGGGCAGTTTCCTCACCACAATCGCGTGCCGGTACCGCTTGACCCCATACAGCGACTCGGAAACTTTTGCCACAGAATTGTGTAAGATCCACCGATATCGCCATCATGCCTGGAGCACGAAGCGTAAGCACAGAACCGGAAAAACTAGGCGATATCTTTAACATAACAAAAAGATGGATGATAGCTTCCATGGAATGATTAATAATTAGTTTCATTTTTAATTGAACACGTATATATAATAAAAAGAAAACATGGTTGATCAACTGTGTTTGCAGCAGAGAGAGAGAGAGAGAGAGAGAGAGAGAGAGTGTCGATCCACTTCTTCGATCTACATTCGGTAAAATATGTACCCACATTCTTAATAATTATTTTATTAACTTATATTTTTTGTATATTCTGATTTATAAAGTAATATTTGCATAATAATTACATACAGTAACTACGAAAGAGTATTAAATAGATTAATTGTATAAATATTAAAATGATTCTAAAAGTTATTTCTAAAAATTATTCTCTATTCTCTTTATTATCTTTTATAACAATAAAGAAAATTAATTCTTACATTGACCATTTTGGGAAATTGTCTGGCGGTGAGAAATCGTCCCTCGAGATCGATAACAAGCAATGTTCGATCCCTCAACCATCCGGACTTCAGTCCCAATGTCGTACATTCCATTTCAGTCATGCGAACTGCACCGAGTGATTTAACCGGGAACACCATTATATCACTTAGTTCTCCGACTTTTCGCCACTTTGACGGTGGCTGAGGCTTTTGTTTTCTATTCCACCACCACCAGATGAAGAAAACCGCCGTACTAACACCCACAGCAGCAGTTGTGACGTACGTAAGTCGGGTTCTGTCTAAAACATATAAAAAATAAAATTTAAATTATTACGCAAAAGTATAAAAAAATTCGGTCTAAATCGTGCAAGTAATAAGATGTTTTCATAAAATAAATTTCAAGCTTACAATGTTAAAACAGCATAAAAATAAAAATATATAAAGAATATAATATAAATAAAATAATATAATTATTTAGGATTCACTGTTGGAGTTATTACATTTAAAAGGTTCTCGAACGTATGTATGTATAGCAATTGCGGTAGGCTGGTTTCTCCGCGCGGTCGTCAAGCTTATCGGTAAGATTTCGCCGAAATCAGCTGCTCCGATCGCAGATCTTCTCAGCAGTGAATTATCTCTCGGCAAAACACAGTTTTTACATCGTTTGTATTTCTTACGTTTCGTATCGATCGAAGCAAGTTTCGCTGAGTAACGGTTACTTTGACGAAAACGATTGGAATCGTCGCGATTACTAGAAGTGCATTTGCGGCAGTTTTACCATTATAAACAGTAGAGTCGATCGCCGATCGGAGCATTAATATTACGAAATATCGTGTTTCGATCACAATCCAGCGGAACGACTTAGAGTGCATCGCGTCACTAATCGCGCCTCAAGATTTCAAATATAATAGATCGACCCGCCTCGATGAACTCTTAATAAAGAACGTTAATTGGCAATACAAAAATTAAAGTGGTAAACCAGTTTTCGATCATCGATCCTTCCTAGCCTGTACCTATACCGAACAATAATGATGTCGAACGTTTCAGAACTCACCGGTTCCTCCTCAGATTTTCGAAGATGTTACAAAGTCATAGAGATGATAATTTTACGGTCTAAGCGACATGGTGTGGTACAAATTGTGTTTCAAATAAATTGATTTTTCTGTTTTTTGTGAGTGTGGAAATTGTGTAATAAAATGTGTGAAAACAGGAACATCTTTATGTATTCGTCTGATTCTGATATAGGAGCAAATGTTACAATTATTGAGAATCAATTTATTCGAACCACACCATGTCGCTTAGACCGTAAGAATATCATCTCTATGACTTTGTAACATCTTCAAGAATCGCTGAGGAGGGAGTAAATTCTGAAACGTTCGATATCATTACGTTATTTTTTTTATATTCTTTATATATTTGTATTTTTATGCTATACTAACATTGTAAACTTGAAATTTATTTTATAAAAATATTTTATAACAATTTAGACCGAATTTCTTTATACTTTGCATTACTCCCCCCCCCCCCCCCGTTCTTTTTATCCAAAACGTGAACGATCACTTATAAATACTCATTTCTTATCCGTAACAAGTGCTTGTTTCTTTTTCATAACAATTAAGAAAGTCGTCAATTTATGTCTTTACCGTAATAAAATGGATCCGCACACGATGCATACCGGTTTTATGAGTTCCGGAAATGTTTCATAAAATGGATATTAAACGAGGTCATCTGGTCACTTACCGTAATGCAATGTATAATGGCTTTAAATTACGATACATTTAAGAAAAACGTGAAAGACGAGAAAAGTAATTTTAATTGTAAAACACAATTCCGATATATTATAAACAGGAGTGTACGATAATTATTGTCGCAATAGAAATGGCATAAATTCTATATACCTATTAAAAAAAATATGACGCGTTATTATTTCATTTTTTTATTAATCAAGTATATTATTTTTAAAATAATACAAGATGCGATATATATTTATTAATCCGTGCTTCCTTTTTAAGTAGTGTGTATTTCTGCTAATGTATAATAACATGCATACATGGAAAACCGGTTAACACGTTATAGCTATACGATACAATTAAGTGCAACGAGGCGCAAGTAAAAAGCTAGTACAACGTAGAGTTTGTATAGAATATTTTTTCTTTGAAAATATTTTTCAATATTTTCATTTGATAGCATAATTTATTTATCAGAATAAAATCTAGTTTATAAAAACTGAAAAAATATATTTTCAAACCTATATGTTTTATCACGTAATAATAGAAGATTTAGAAACAACAAGAAAAAAAATGAAAAAACTTAATCTTTCTTTTAAAGCAAATATATCTACTTACTTTAAAAACGATAAAGAGCATGTCTCTGCGAAGCAGACAGTAACGATTAAGAAATACTGACCAACGACAATCGAATTCGAAAGTAACTCAGACTTATCACGTGAGCACTCGATTAGAAAACAAGAGAGAAACAATAATTTGACTAATATACAAGCTTCATTACTTGTTAATATTTCTTATAGCGTTTTTCACTGGCAAGGCGCACGCAGTGCATATTAAAATCGTTATACATTTAATCCGACGTTAAAGTGAGAATCAATAAAATGCTTATTGTGTATTTTGTCAAATAATACAATAAAATATATTTTGAAGATTTTACGCGGTTTTACTTATTTTTTTATTTTTATTAAACATATATTTTTATGTCGATTTGTGTACAAAGGCATTAAAGTACATTGAGTGCGCACTAGCTCTGCCAGTAGTGAAAAACGCTATTAGACATAAAGAAAAACTATTCACGGAAAAGTAAGACGTCACACTTTATGCGAATGAGATATGTTAATTTTTTACAGTGACCTTCTTAAACGAATAAAATAAAGGAGTGAAAAGAAATGGATTTAAAAACAATTTATTGTTACTTTTTTAGACTATTTTTAATTTAATTTTACAAATAAATATAATAAAAGTGTACAAGGCTAATAAGAGTCACACATTCAAGATTAAAAGTTTAAAACAACTCTAATGTATTGACATAATTAAATATATATGAAAATATAAAAAATATAATAATTAACGGAAAAAATTTAACAATAATAAATTATATATCGTGTATGCTTTGTACATTATGCAACGCTTTATATAATTTATGTTTAATTTTTTGCGTTAATTATTATATTTTTTATATTTTAAATACTAAGAGTCCTGTATTTTCATTTTTAATTTACAAATTAATGTATGTATTTTTAAAGTTTACTGACTTTTTGTTGTTGGTGAAATATTTTGTGGGACATATATGTTAATCGTATATATATTTGTATTATAAAATTATTTTTTATTTCTGAATGCTGCCAACTGAAATTATTGATTTCTTTATTTGGAAACACACACTTTTTCCTTTACTAAAAAAGGGGAAACTTCCTAATTGTGGTTCTCCCTTCTAGAGGGGATTAAGGACCCTTCGCAAAATCAATACAGCAAGAAACAGGAATTGTTCGAGTATCTACAAAGAGAGTTCGTGTTCAAAGCCGAAGCTGTCAGTTTCAACTTGATTACATTTACAACTTGATTACATTTATAAATTTATCGATAAATAACGATAAAAAGTTATGTAAATGAGTCGTATCAATGAAATAAAAGTAGGTACTTGTATTGAAATTACGTCATTATAATAATTAATCGACAACAGTATTTGTACTCTCTAAAACTTTGTAAATCTAACTCTCTTTAAGAATTTTCATTCTTAAAGATTCAACTCTTTTTCAAGATTGATTTAATTTTCACAGTTTATAAAGTAAGATTTCACTGCAAACAGTTTAGAGTGTTACAATAATTGAACAATAAATAATATCGTAAACAATAACATATACCTAAAATAAATAATAGTTTTTACTATAATTGCTAATAGAAAATTGCGTATCTATTACATTATTTGTTCCACTTACAAATAAACCTATGAAATTTTGCAAATATTTTTCATATTCTACAAAGTTATTAAAATCGGTGAGTGACACCTTCGTAGGTTTACTTGTTAATAATATTTAATAATAAAGTACAGCTAGAGATAAAAATGACAAAATTTTACAATAATTTATTCGGTAATTTACTGTAAATTAGTTAGTAATTTATGGAAGCTGGTAAAAATGATAATTTAAAAAATAATAAAATTAAAGTAATTTGATATAAGATTATGTAGTCATTAAGATAAAAAGTTTAAAAACACTTAATTTAATTTAATTTTGATACTACATATAATAATAATTAAGAAACTACTATATAGGTACGTAGTAACTAGAGAAACTTAATATAAGTTTTTTTTATTAAAATTTTGAAAGCAAAAAAGGTGACAGAGTAGTCTTAAATTATATTTTTCAACTTGTAACAATTTTATTTGCTAGCTATTTTAGCGACTGTCAAGGACAGTTTTTACTAGAGCAATAACAAAAATATAATTTACATATTAAACAAAGATATATTATAATAATAAATGATTAATTATATCATTGTGTTAAAGATATATAAAGTTTAATATATATTAAACAAAAATATATTATATTATAATATATGTGAAAAGTGTAAGATAAACTTCTTGTAATTACACTATTGCCAGAAATCCTAGAATGCTTAAGTAAAAATATAGAATAATCTTATCATATGATAGATATAGTTATCAAATTTTAAATAAATGATAGGAATAGAGAAAAAAAGAATATTTATTATCATATTGTGACGTAATTTTTTTCAGTAAGATACGTTTAGATTTAGTCAATAGCTCTATTATTCTATTAGGTTTCTTATTAAGAATGTTGAATGATTGTATAATTTTTAATTTAATTATACATAAGTATGAAAATACTATCTATTTATGCATAAAACTATAAGAAACAACAAATTTTAAATTCAAAATTACCTATAAATTAGCATTTTGCCATAATTGCAAAATTGAATTCAGCAGTAATTTTGTATTTCTAATAATATATGAAAAATAAAATTAACTTCTTGTAATTGCACTATTGCCAGAAATATATAGAATATATATCTTATCATATGATAGATTAGAGAGAGAGTTACAAAATTTTAAGTAATTAAATGATAGAAATAGAAAAAAAAATATAGGGTTTTCCAGCAAAAGGTAGTATTTTGAATTATTAAAAAAACGCTTTTTTTGTAAGGAAGCTGTGATTGGATTAAAAATGCCGCAAAATTTATAACAACACAAAAATTACCAATAAATGACCATTTTACAGAACATTCTTTCATTCATAGTAAATGTTGGATCCATATAATCATTGCCCGAGTTATAATACTTTTTCACTCTTACGCCTTTGTAGAATATTAATTTTTTATATTTATATTACTTTTATTAAGTATCTAAATAAACTTACATATGTAATATAAATATATATTATTATAGGTAAATTAAATAAAAATAAACATATTTTTTATCTTATGTTACCAATTATTATACTTGGTATTGTTTCTAAGTTTGTTTCAACATATTAAACAATTTAATTAATTAATTTTACTGATTGACTATCATAAATATATGTCGAAAAAAGTATTTTGCATATAAAGATTTTATTAAAAATTTATCTTTGAGCTTTTTATTATTTACATTCTTTTCTCCATGCTTGAACTTGACTTACCAAATAGATATTAAAGTAATCTAGATACGTTATCATTATTAACAAATAAACAACAAGCTTCTTACGCCACTATACTGTGTTTCATTCTCTCTCTCTCTCATATTTACGAAGGTGGTTTGAAAAACCACCGTGCAAAGTCTAAAATATAGCACCACCAATATCGAGATTATTTTTAATATCCGGCAATTCAACTATGTCTTTATCAATTTCATGTATTGTTTTTTTTGTCCTCAATTATAATTTATTTAACTGCCGCTTATTTCTTTTGAAAAGAAAATCAATCAAAGAGAACATTTTATATCAGTCCTTTGCACAAATAAAAACAGACAATTGCGGCAAAGACATTGAGAAATATATATATGCATGTAAATAGAAAAATGAAAAGGGAGATGTTAGTGCTTAATAATATTCTAAATATTTTAATTTATGAGATTATTCCAGCCTTAGATTATTATTGCATTTCCGATGCGCATATAATTGATTACATAATTTGCAAACCACTTGTAGATTGACATGCAAGCTAAATATAATAAATATCACAAATTTGATTTAAAGAGTATACATTTACCCATAATCACCGCCGAACTCGACAAAATCACGAATAGTGGACGATGGAATTTTTAGCAAAGATCTTGACGACCCGAAAGATCAGACGACGACTTGATCGTTCTTGCAGTGTTGAGGCACAGTGTCGTACCGATTCGCGAAGTATTTGAACTTGACGCATCCCCTTCTCTGCGACGAAGACACCGTTATCTATTCGCATTACGTTCTGCTTCCACCATTATCAGCTGTCGAAGTAATCTCCGCTGATCTCCGCCGCGTCGACATTGGTCGACATATGCGAAGCGGGGAGTACTATAATGTGCTGTCTTTATTCCTGCACTCTCCCGAACTGGTGCACACGGTGCAATGTGCAATAAGATAAGAGAGAGAAGCTGATGTCCACAAAAGGTGGACATATATAGCCAATGTCCACGATCGTGTCGGTAATTTCCACGATTTTCTGGTCATTTTTGGTTCGAATCCTCTCCCTATGTCCATGATTCGAACCAAAAAATCGTGGAAATTACCGACACGATCGTGGACAGGCTATATAGTCCACGTTTTGTGGACATAGAGGCGCTTCAAAATAAAGTAATCCCCGGGGCATGGCCGCTCTCAGGCCATCTCAGGCTGTCTCAGACTGCTTCTCTCTGACTGCTTTTCCAGAAGAATTGTACGTTTATTGAATATCGCGTCGCAAATCGCGTTGGTGTGCTGGAGCCATAAGGCATTCGTCATCAATCGAGCACATCTTAATTCTTAATAAACGTGTTTTATCAAACAATATAATATATATACAATGTGTTAGTATTCAACTGGCACTCGGCGTATTGCCGCTTCAAATTTCGCGCTTTTTAATGTGCGCAAGATCAAACGAACGAACGTCAAGTTTGGCCCCACTACGCCTATATCACTGATGAACGAACTGTCATCCACCATATCACTTTGATCACTCATCGATGACTTTATGGGAATGTGACTATTTTACAACCGTAAAGAGTATTTTGGATTTGGTGTTTCCGAGAAAAATCGACAGACCGATTGATTATTCTTTCTGGATCGGCAGAAACCCGTGTAACATCAGTGTTGTATCGTCGAAACAGAAAAGTGCGCAGCTGTTGTTTCATTTAAACACTTGTTTTCTATCGAGGTAGGGGTCAAATGTTGGATCGCTGATGATTTAAATATCGCTTCCTAAAACAAGTATTCTAGTTGTCCTAGCATTCAAATTTCCAAGTTGAGACAGTTAAAACGATCTTAGAAGTTTAATTTTGTGAGGTTGTCGGAGGTTAAAACTGAGAAAGTCATAACGAGGAGTACTTGTATTATTGCTCGTACGTCACAGCTAATTTGTATCATTATCAATTTTTTTAATGAGCAATTTGCATGCTTGAAAGCAGATGTCTGCATCTGTTGTTTTTAATTACGACATGATAAGCAAATCCCGCTGGGAAAATGTGTGATTAAAGAAAAATTGAGCTAATATTAATAAATATAAAAGTCTTTGTGTGTTTAATAAATGGACAAATGTGATGTAACAATTGATGCGATGGATAGTATTTATCACATTTAATCACATTGCTATATATTTTGTTACAGATTTCAATATGCCAATTTTATATAGTGTAGTGGCTCGTGGAACAATTATATTGGCGAAACATGCTGCATGTGTTGGAAACTTTGAAGACGTTACAGCAAAAATCTTGGCAAAGATCCCACCAGACAACGACAAACTCACATACTCGCAAGGGCCTTATCTTTTTCACTATATTTGCGAGGATCGCCTTATTTACATGTGCATTACCGATGATGTATGTACTAGACATGTCAAAAGGCACACAAATCATTCCTTTACATCAAAAGTGATACAATGAGAAAAATTAAATTTTTTAAAATAGGTTAAGTGAAAAAATTTATGTTTTTCTTTTGATGAAATTATTGTGTCAATCAATAAGAGTATATTTTAAACAAAATGATCAAATATTGTTTTAATTATTTTTATTAAAAAAACATACCATTTTCAAATTGTGACAATTTTGATGTTATAGAGTATAATGATGACTTTAACTCGTAATAATTCAAAAATTACGTTTTTTTTTCGTTTGTGTCACATTTGAAGCGATCTAATAAAATTCTGTTTCAGGATTTTCAAAGATCCAGAGCATTTTTGTATCTTAATGAAATTAAAAGAAGATTCTTAGCTGTTTATGGACCAGGTGCTCAAACTGCCGTAGCTTATGCCATGAATACAGAATTTGGTCATGTTTTGGCTAATGAAATGGTACTGTCTGTGAATTGATGATTGTATCTCTTGAGAAACACTGTTTACACATCACACTTGAAATTTTGTCTTTTCAGAAACATTATAGCGAATCCAAAGATCTTGATAGATTGTCTAAAGTCCATGGTGAGCTAGATGAGCTTAAGGACATAATGGTAAAAAATATAGACAACATAGCGATGCGTGGCGAGCGATTGGAACTGCTTGTAAACAAAACGGAAAACTTGTCTGCCAATGTATGTAAAAATATGCTCACAACTTAACATTGTTAGTCATTGAATATTATAAAATTCACTTTTTTTTATTCTAGTCCGTGACATTCAGAAAGACAAGTAGAAACCTAGCACGCTCCTTATTTTGGAAGAATGTAAAAATTTATGTCATTGTCGGCATAATTTTAATTGTAAGTTCAACATTGTAATCAATTTTGGGTGAGAGATTCTTTACAACTTCTGTCATAGAGTTTAACGTCATTCATTGTTTTTCTGTTATAGGTTGTAGTATACGTGATTGTTTCTATAACGTGTGGAGGCTTGGCTTGGCAAAAATGTGTGGGAAATTAATGTATTATATATGTACGATACAGTGTTCAAACGCCGATTGAATATATATGGAGGAAAAGTGCATGAAAATTTAGTAATAAGACTGAAAACTATTAGATCCGTAAAGTTACACTATTTACAAATTTATTGTTATATCTTAGTTTACGTACTACAATAAGAACATTGTACTACTAACGCATACACTACAATATTTATCAATAATACTTGTATGATTATTATTTTACAAGAATTGTAACACCATTTATATTCTGTGGACAAGATGTATATATAACTCATTTTATTTTTATTACACCGAAATATGCACCTTATTATATCTTATTTTACGGAAAAGCAAAAATAAAAACATTTTCTTGTTCAATGTTTCTATTATTTAGTATGTCCCATTTTTTTTTTATTATGCAGAAAACATATTGTCTTTCAAGCTGTGTAAAACGAGGTAGTAATATTCTCGACGCAATCGAATGAAGAGAGCATAAAAAAATATTTATGCAAGAAATTATAGAAAAAAGATGAAAGAGATATTAAGGAAAATAGATCTCCAATTTTCTCTGAAAATCGACACGATATCGACAGCGGAACGTACGTCCCACGTACGCCCACGTACGTCCCACGTTCGTGTTGAGTGTCCGAGGGTCTACTCTCTCGCTACTACGGGGCGTGCGCCGCGATCGCCGCGATACAACGACGTCGTTCGGCGCAGCGGTGTGCGACGGGTGGCGGCGTCGTGGCGCGGGCGCTCTCCAGCGCTCTCCCATCGCGAAGCCCGGGCCATCGCGCGCAGCAGCCCGGCGGCGGCTCTCGCAGGATGTCGATGTCTCGCGCGGCGCGCCCTTCGGGAGGTGCCCAAGTGTCTTCGTATATACACGATTGATCGCACTCCGTCCCCAAACCCCGAGATCTTGAGCTAAACAGTCCTCCTTTTTTGATATCCCCCATCCTTCCCGCTTAATAAATTTTACAGTTTCTTCATCGAAATTTCTCTTTCTTTTCTTCGTAATAGAAAAAGAAAAGAAAAATTGAAAGACAGATCTCGGTAATAAGAAAAGGGGAACAACGAAAAGGAGTTTAGAAGCGCGCGATTTTCAGTTTCGTCTCCCTTCCGAATGGAAAAAGGAATAGTAGCGTAAAAAAAGCTCGCGGGAAAACGCACCCCGAAAAAACGAGCCGCTCTCATGTACGCGTATGTGTGAGAAACGCGTTGGTGCGTGTGTTTACAACCTGTGGGTGGTGCGGCAGCGGCGGCGTTAGGCACCGATTACGGGATATGGATTCGCGGTGGACCCGGGTGCAGGAGACGGAAGATAGCAGATGACGAGATCTTCGGCCAACCCCGGCGAGAGGAGACGAAAGTGAAAACGAGAGACTGTACAGTGGGCATTGCAATGTGAGAGGGAGGATGCGTCGCCCTCGGGAGAACGACGAAGGGTGCTGGGAAGATGAACGCCAAAAGGCGACGAATGCAGCCTTGAGCTCTCCCCGTAAGTGTCGTTTCTTTCCCTTTTACTGAGACTTTCTTTCAGCGAGACGAGCGAGACGCACCCGAGAGAAAAGCTGAATATTTAAATGAACTTTCGCTTTGCGTGAAATAACGCGAGCGTCTCGTAATTCGATTTCTATATAGCTTGAGATCGACATGGGATTATCAGAATTATCTATGATATTTTGCCCGAAATTTTAAGCAACATCGCAAAATCGATCGAATGGTAGAGTATTCTCTTGAAATAGAAGACCGAAATTTGCTCAAGTATTTTTGGACCGACCTGAGATTGCTTTTAGAAAGGAATATCGTGACCTTAATGTGTTTTAAAATAAATAAAACACTGAAAGAACAATTTTGCTGAAGTAGTAAAAATTTAGCTATAGATACATCTCAACATAATTTACTGTCACACAAAATAATTATATAGAACATTGATGCTGCAAAAAAAGTTTGTCATACTAGCAATTGGTTTGAGCATCATATATAATTATCTTAATAAAGTTTAATTAGAATAAAATTTTTAGATCTATACTTAATTACATTTTTATAGATATACTTCAGTAAAGGTTCTCCGGAAAAAGTAATATTTAAGTTTTAAAAGAGCTTCATTGAATTCACGTTAATTCTATATCAATAAGATTATAATTATGGAATTTCGCTGCAATAAGATATATTTGTCGGTTTTATAAATATCATGCTAATATAATTGTATTTTTCTATTAATTCCGATCTAGTCCGCGAGCTTTCGACCGCTATCATTCGCTGACGTTTCATCCCGTTGCGTGCTTTATTGCGTGCATCTAGAGACGTATAGTTTAGATAAAACATCGCGAACGCGACATCGCCGGTGCAAAAAGGCAATGAACTGCTACGCGGCATGAATAACGTTGGAGTGGAAAATACTCTGCCGCACGCGACGGAAGCGACGGAAAATCGTTGCCACGGAATTCTGGGAAAACAACAAATGTACCAAAGAAACGATAATATTAACACTACAATCGAATCTTCGTATCGATTCTCGTAAATGTAATCTTTCCGCATCAATGACTGATACCGCATCAAAATCGCTTGTATCCATTTAAATATAAACTTGCTGTCACAATGTATAATTATCTCGTTTAATTTTGACCAATTATTTTATCCATTTTTTATTTCTATTTTTATTGAAAATATATTTATTTATTCTTTCGTATGAAAAAAAAAGACCTACACAGAAAAAAAAATATTGGATCATGAAAATTTTTTCGGATAGTCATATTTTTAGAGCTAATTGTTCTTTTCATAAATATAATAAATAACACTCTGAACGAAAAGTTGAATTTTTTAATATCATTAAAGTTTAAATATCTTTTAACTCCTTTGCAACCAGGAATTTTTTATATTTTGGAATTTTTAATAATTGAAGATTACTGATTTTAATTGTTACGATATATAGTATAAAAAATAATAATATGAAAAAGTGATTATTCTTGATAATTCGCGATTGATATTATTTTGCCGCGAAACTATCTGCGGTCGATCCGAAACGTAGGTCTGACCCCACATTTTGTTTCTTCTGCTATGCCCAGTGCTTCCTTAATGCGCGCGGGGAGTCATTTTGATGGAGAAATATTCGATGCCACGTATACTGGCCATAAAACGTTCGGGAGGGTTCGTCCTGGAATAGTGTTAGGGACGAGTGGGAAGAATGTTCATTGACGTTAGAGACCCCCGGCAAGGAAGCGTTTTACTCTGGTCTGACTCACTCGTAGGACGACAAATGTGTCCTTTGAAAGTACCAGGGCATTGTCTTTCTTCGCAGCGAGTAGACGAATAAACCAAGCTGCTTTTAACTTTTTTGCAGTAATTTTTTCCCAAATTGGATACACATAATAAACTTGAGCTGATTACTGCAGGATTCGCCATTGTTAAAATAAAAATGGAAACTGTAATGCATTTTGTGCTTAAAAATTTCATGTTTGAAAACGAAATTTACCTGATATAAATTTAGATAGAGAAAATATCAATTACAAACATCAGGCAGAAATGTTAAAGTTAAAATAACTTTTAAAATTTATTATATGTATATATATTTTAAAAATTAATTAAATATTTTTAATATTTAATGTTTGAGAGACATTTTAACATTTTAAATACTTGAACGTAAAAATATAATTTTCACATAAAAAATTTAACCATGTACTTTTACATAAAAATAACAACGTAATATTTCTTTTGTATGACATTTTTGAAAGAAAGCCTTTTTATTTGATTTAAAACGAATTCCATTGAAATTTATTTCGATTAAAGAACATAAAACTATGTCGTACTACTACGTCAGTAGAAATCAGCTATAGCTAAAACATAATAACGTAATACTACGTCAGATGTGTGTACTGTATTGTAAGTAACTGCGGTTTATAAAAAGACAGTATTACGTCAGCGACTGTTAATTTAGCTCAATTGTCATTTACATTTCGCGTAATCATATCCTTGTCGATTAGTAAATAAATGCGCGCGTAAAAGCGAGCCGACGTTCTTCAATTTCCTCCTTGTCAAAATACGAAAATGCGACGTTTTTGACAATGATTACATTATATGCGAAGCGGTTCGAAGACTGTAATCGCCGAAAGCTCGGCAGTAACTTTCGCAAGAGTAATTATGCATTTCCCGTGCACGTAATAGCGTCTTAAAGGAGTATCTTGTTACTTTGCTAACAACACTCCATGTGCAGCGAGCTTAAGACTTAGAAACAACATAACTAAGCGCCTCTAAATCCGCTCTTCCTAAGATAAATACTAACTCTGTGTGATATACGTTTTGTATTCGTGTCAATGCATTTTTTAATTAACTTTGCTGATAAAATCTACAAAGCTTTGCTTCATACATTAATAAAATGTCATGTTATATACGTATAACGTACCTACAGAAACTCTAGTTATCGACTCTGCAGCCGCGGGGCAGTCGTCGTGGCCCATAATTATGTTTTACAGTTTCAATTGAAATTATCACTGCGTTGCGAACGGGATAATTAACTCGAAGAGTACCAGATTTAATTGTCTCTCTCTCTCTCTCTCTAACGTAATTAATTTCCTACAAAGTACATATCTGCACCTTACATAATTAAGAGTATCAAAGTTCCGAGATTGCCCGGTAGCAGTCAGACGGAGATTCTTTATGTAAATGTCAACGGAAATATATATATATCGTAATATTTTAAATTAGCCGAAAGATGAAAAATAATTTTTTATCTATTTTATATTCATTATATGCATATAAGAATTAGCAAACAGGATAAATAATTTTGTTTTTTAACTGAAGAATATATGGAAAGAGAGCGGTTTTACATAATTTTGGTTAGGCGAAAATAATGACGCTCAAGCTGATTACTAGAATAACAAAATTTTCTGAAATGCTTATTATATTTGAGCATCTTATACAATTGTTTTGATAGTCCAAGAAAATTATTTTTGCATCTAAATTTTTAGACAGTTTAACAAAATTGTTGATTCCGCGTGTAAGAAAAAGTTGGAAAAAATATAGGTAAAAAGTTTGCATCATTAATTATGTTCTATTAAAGTGTCATATGACAATCTTGGAAGCAAAATCAATTTCACAGTGATATACCTATGCACGCTTGAGCGGAGGGTCTTAAAGAGCAATTTTCATCAACCACCTTAGAAATTCTGCGAGGACTAATAACCGGGATAAGCGTCGGAATGAAAATCATACGCCTTCCCGGCGTGTACTCACGCGATCGTCTCTTTTGCGCGAAGGGGTAACACGCCTTTGGGGGTCGCTGAAACGAGGACTACGCGCGCGCGTTCACCAACTCTTTCCACAGGAATATTTTCGCATCGCGCGGTTAAGAGCGCAGCCTCTCGCTTCCTCTCGCGCACGAAAGGCAAGGTATAGCATTGGGGCTCTCAAGGACCGATTCTTTCAGGCTGCAAACCCGGTGGATTGTGTGCGCAAGGGCCTACCCTCTTTAGAATTCCCCGTCCGTAAAGGAGCGAAGAGCTCGTGTCGAAGACAAAGACGAGGGGGTCGGCGCGCGAAAGGGGGTTGAAAGGAGCGAGGGGGACTCTCCGAGAGGTACGGTTGCGAGCCTGAGGGGAGGTGAAAAAGCGAGAGGGAGATAAGAAGATAAGGAAGATGGGCGAGAGCTCGCCGGATCTCAGCCTCCGGCTACGCCAGGGCAGTTCCGACTCCAGAGATTCCTTCTACATGGACTTTGCACAGGTAAGAGAGGGGAAGGTAGGCGTTTTGTAGATTAAAAATCATCTGTCTGAGAGCCAAGGGTAATTACCCGGAAAGATTTCGGACCGCGCGGCGCAGCGCGAATTACGAGGCTGCCAACTTACTCTTGACTCTCGTCAATTCACTTATGACGGATTATTAGACGAAAAGGGCATAAATTCATGGATTTCCTACCCTTTAATACATTTCTTAATCTGGTCTTGATTACACTGAGAGAAAAGTCTGGTACCAAGTGTATTTGTTCAACTTGCAATATTTAAACAACATTTAATCACATATAAATTAACATATATAGATATGTTAAAAATTCACATACAAATGCAAAATGTTTTTTTACTGTATAGTAATTAACTAATTTGTAATAATTACAAAATATGTAGAAAGTTAAAATTATTATTTGTTTAATTTTTATATTAACCGAATATAATCGAAATTATTTCATTACAGCATTTATTATGCATTTACTATATACTTTTTAGTCTTTTTACGTACTCGTTAATTGATGCAGAGCGAGACAAAAGATAATTTCTTATCACGATGCAACACGAATGTCAGAGCTTGATAAATTTCTATCAAGTTATATTCGGAGGATATTCTCATATCCGATATGACCCTTCCTCAAATCGGGCTAAAGCGCAACGATGTGTCAATAACTGAAATACCACTGTCCCTAAAAACAAATTCAATATCCTTGTAAATATCCTTAAAAGTAGGTCATTTGTAAAATTGGCTGTAGGAATGGCTATAAATTATATATCCTATTCGAGTAAAGTCTCTATTAAATATTTACTCCGCTCACGTGTCATTCACGTCATATTTTATGGACACCACGCTTTTTTTTGTTGCTATTGATTTATATATTGCGATATTACATTTAATAGACCTTTTTAATTTTGCTAAAGTATTGACTGTAATTTATGCGAGAAATATTTCAATAATCTGTAAAAATTATTTCACTGAAAATAAGATGAATTCTTTAAAATGGCGCCGATTACAGTAACATACATCTCCTAATTCCATTTCACAGGGTATCGATTCCGATATCGAGGAAGTGACGCGGCCAGGCGATAATAATTCTGATCCTATGATGGAAAATCATCTGGAGGAGAACGGGAACGACTTACCACCGATTGAAGACATTACGACGATCCCCGAGGAGGCCTCGGAAGAATTAAGAGAGGAGGAGGAGGCGGCCGCGTTGGAGGCCGCGCTTAGAACGCCAGACGGTGGCACGATTAGCACGGAAATTGAGAAACCGTCGACCGCGTCGCTCATGCAAGAGTAAGTACAGAAAGTACCTTTACCCCTGGTACCAATCATTCTATAATGCACGCCACTCGAGGCATATTTCGTTTACCTTCCCTATTGCTAATTTTTGCGATTATTAATGCGTCTCAAGTCACTTCTTGACTGAAAAACTGGAATACGTAGTGAATAAACTAATGACCAGTATTTTCATAGTAAAATAATCTTTATAACAAGTAAGCGAAGAAGACTGTATTCAGTTAAAGCAAGCATTGCCTAATGATATATTTTTGCATGACTTACAATTTAATTCTAGTTCAAACAAACTGCGCGCGTCTATTTGTCAATCTTGAAACAAAGTCCTAAAGTGAAGCTGAAATACTAATATTATAAATTAATTAACAAAAAATTATATATATATATATATACACACTAATCCTAAGCATCTTAACAAATAATCAATTTAATTACTTGAATTAGAAATTGTACCTTCACTTATTTATGTTGAATATTTCTCGAATTTTCACTTAGATTGATATTCATAATCAGTTCTTATATTCAAAACCGTCAATCTTGAGGTATTACGAACCAATCAGACGACCGCGTTAGCGTCTTAAGACATTACCTAAGACAGTCTTGAAGTAAAAACCGACTATGAATATTGGCCTTACTGTTTATTGATGGCCAATTGGAATTATTTTAAGAAGCTCTTAATGTATTGAAAATCTGTAAATAAACTTAAAAAATGATGCAAATGATATCGCGTCGTGCAGAAAGGAGACTGTTAAGAAATGAGCATTTCAACGTTGATTCGACCGTTTTGTATCGATTGTTACCGCTTTGTATGCACCACCGCAACGTAAATTACAGCCTCCCCTAAAGAGCCGACGTTTCTCCACGTCTCTTCATTGGAGTGACCAACGCTGGCCGCGGTGGTCCCGGCGGGCAGCATTAATCACCGTCTGCGATTAACGCACATTTCCCTCAGTTCCCAGCGTACGACCCTATACTTTGTACACTGCCGGCAATTAAACTTGATCGTAAAAAATGCTTCGGCGATTTCGCAACAACATGCCGATTTCCTCCGCGCAATCAATTCTACATCAGTTCAACATATAACCCTTTTGATTTCCAATGAACATGTTTGGAATTGTTTTGATACCAATTCTTTTATTTATCATTATTATCGCTGTGTGTTGTGATTTAATATAATGATTTATATTTATTACAATAGAATTATTTCGAAATATGTATTAACCCGGAAGTAATCAACTTACTTTCTTTTTTTAAACAACCACTAAGGTATTTTATACCTCAATAAACAAATCACTATTACAATAACCTAGTATATATATTAGATATGTTGATTGTTCTTTGATTTATTAGAATTTAATAACATTGGATATATAAAAAAAATGTAGTAATACAATCCTTGTATTGAAAAAATAAGATATGAATAAGAAGAAATCAAATCAATATTACAAACGTAATAAGCACATTAAACAGTTTATTATATGATTATTATATTTCTAAAAAATAAAAATGTTAATAAAATGCTTTTTTATTGCGGATTTTTGATAAAAAAAAAAGAAAAAAAAAAAATATGTCTAAAAAGTAAAAAAAGACAGTATCTATTTTAACATAGTTTATATTTTCTCGCAGCTAGAGTATAAAAACACCTCAGATAAATATTTCTAGATTAATTCAATATTACTATAGTTTTAGCCATAAATATAAAAGTACTTTTAATTTATTGTATTTTCTCAAAAAAGATGACAATGGAAATCAAAGGAGAACTAACGATAATAGAAGATAAAGGACTAATAAGATATTAAGAATGTTAGATATAAATATGTATAATATTATATTATATATAATATATTTTTCAATAAAACTTTTTTATTTATTTTTTGTTAGATATAAAATGTAACGTCAATTTGAAGGTACTTATGGCTAAGACTACAATACATTGTTATATATTATAATATAAATATAATATTATTTGTTCTCACGCGCGCAATTTAAAGTTATTATTTATATATATAATTTCGAATAAATGACACATCTGGTCACTTTTATACGATTGAATGAAAATATATGCGGCTTTCTACGCGATATCTGATATAGGACATGACAGCTTTTGTTCATACATTGGCTTTTGCGCATTATTCGTTGCGATGTCTCCAATGGAACCGATTTACCGGACCAAATGCCAAGACCCTCTCTCAAATTCCGGCGTGCAAGAGCGTCTGGTTTGCGCGCGTATTCGGTCCATCCACGGAACTCGATTACTTCCGCCGGATATCGAACGTGAATTTGTGTGCATCGGACGACTATCGGCGTCAGAGTTAATATTGACCTGTCACTCGGTTATGGTTTACGTTCGATCTTCATCCGCGTCTTCCCTCTTGCTTCCGGTTCGATCTTTCAGAGGTCTCCTAACTAGTCTCCCTTACTCCAAGTCTGTCGGAACTCTCTGAGAATCCTCTTCTCCAATCTATCAGAAAAGCAGCTTATACTCTGTCGATTTACATGCAGATTCAATCAGTTCGTAGACACGTACTCAAAACGACATTTCGACAGCAGAAGAAATTTATATTGCGATATATCTAAGATTATTATAATACAGTTTGATCAAAAAAGTATTAGGTACTGCATTAATCATTATTTAACATCTTAATTGTTATTTATGAACAATAAATTTGTAAGAATCGCTAAAGAAGGACCTGTGAGTTCCGTATGTGTGACACATACATGAAAAGCGTTTTGTCTATTAAATGCTTACATGCAAAAAATTAATTAAATAGATAAATTAAATAATTAAATAAATTAAATTGAGAGAGAGAGAGAGAGAGACGACGCTGACGCCGAATCTTAAATCCATACTTTTGTCAAAAATTTGTATTCATGATAATATTTATAAAGTTAACAGTGCGATTTTTCATCATGGTAAAATATAAACGAATATATATATACATATATGTGTGTATGTGTCGTTCAAAAAATGGGATAAGATTAATTAAAAGTAGAAAAAGTAAATACAAAGAAATAAAATTGTTAGGATCGATAAACTACTAAAATTATCACAATATTGTCAAATATATATATGCATGCTTTACTTCTTTGGATGGAGGAGACAGATGAAAAAATTTTCGATCATACTAGAAGTGTCGTGCGATGGAAAATTTATATCCCACAATTCTCCGATGGAGCTCTCTCTCTCTCTCTCTCTCTCGAATTTGTCGTCTTGATAGGAAAATGGTAAACGCAGTGGGGCAGGGAAGTGCTGTCAGATATTTTCCGGTAAATGTACGAGAGGGCCGCCGATCTCACGAGGCAGACGGAATAAAAGTCGAAGCATGTGAATATTAGTGTATGAACATGGCCCTACCTGATAGTACTTTCTTAGATGCGACATTTATCGTACAGTTTGCTAGAAAATCTCTTAAAGCAGAGGAATTTATTTAAAAAGTATGATATTATAATTATCAAATTTCTAACTCAAATTTTCTCAATAAAATAGGGTATTATACATAAAGAAATTGTCACTCTACTTCCTTAATTTACATAGATTCTTCTTTTGATTGCATCTAATATCTATTATACCAATTCATGCTGTACATCTAATAGACTTGAGCGGTTATTTTCTTTTTCTCTTTTTCTTTCATTAATCTCTGTTTTCCTATGACCTTTTGAATTCCCGGCAATTGGTAACCGAGACGATCAGCTGGCGCGCTGGCGATGTAACGGCATGTTACGCCGCTGCAAATTTGATACACCGCTAACGAGCTCGCTATCAAACGGTCGCATATCCAGGCAGAGATAGAGAGAAATGATATACGTAGAGAGAAGGATCGATAGATACAATGGTCAGGGAGCCGGTCTGTCCCGATTAGGGCCTCAGTTTGCGATGCGGGGTCCGTGAGTGCCGTGTCACGAGCCGGAGGGCCGTGATAGTGTCATCCGTTGGTGAGGGCCGTTCATGAGGGCCAACGTACCACCGAGACGATCGAGAAAAGCGCGAGTCAAGGTCACGGGTATGCTCATCAAGGAGACGTCGCTCAGGTATCACGATTTCGCTGCGCTGCGTTCGATATCTGTTGCATTTAAGGGTATAAAAGTGTTTCTTCGAAATTTTATCTATATATGCATCGATATGTACAATGTAATTAAACATTGATATAATTTTGAGGTCGAAATTATATTGTGCGGACAAGTCGATATTTTATTATATTTTTATTTTTAAAAGATAATGGAAAAGACATTCTCGTGTTAAAAATTTATCGCATTCAAAGAAAATTATAGTAGTAGCAACTATAAAGACACTGTATAATATAAATTTTATATATGCAGAATTAATTTATGTAATTTGATAAGATATTTTATGTTATTAATAGTAGCGCAACAAAAAAAAAACTATAAAACACTTTATTCAACTATATGTACACGCGTGCAGACATAATTACCTTTAGTTGCTATTACATTTTTTTCTCTGAGCGTATAATGAAAAAAACAGAAAGAAAGTTAAACAAAATATACTACCTATATAAAGGATATGGATCAGATGATGGAGAACGAAATGATAAACGATAGAATTGATGTTTTTCGCCGACAGAAATCTCGGAAGTGTAATTTCCATCGTAATATGCGGAAAGCAATGAAAAAAAGAGAGGCCAGCGAGTTGGAATTTTTCAAGCACAAAGTTCAAAAGGATTGCGCGAAGAGTCCCCGAGTTTTGAATAAGAGGTGTACTTTGACAATGGCAATTGAATTCAAATGAAATGCCAACGACGCTTTCACAGAACGTGAAGAATTTCTTGGAAAATCATGCCTATATAGAGATCATGCATAACATGTGATAATTTGCCTTCGTGAATATTCGAAAGATATTTAGATTCGCAAATGTGAATCTTTAGTAAAAATTTTAACAATTCAAAGAGATATTCGTGGAATAGAAAATGCAATACAACTGTTTTTTTTTTTTTACACTCCTCCATTTTAGAAACGAAAGCAGTTGGTTGAATCAAACGTAAATTTAATAAAAGTAAATGACGTTGTATTGCACAGAACATTGATCAATCTATACGAACTTTACCGTCCTCTCTAAAGAAATTAAAATTGCAAAAGAACCAGGTCAGCGTCGTATCAAAGTCCGTTGAAAAGAATTTTAATGATGTAATAAATCCGACCGAGAAAAGTTACGAAAAAAAGGGAGAAGATGCTGAGGGACGTCGATGGATAGAAGGTAGGAGAGATCTCCACCAAAGGGTGGATGCGCCGGGTTCTCAAGCCCTTCGCAACGAGGGACGGCACTCGACCACTGAATCAACCCTCTCTCAGTTCCCTATCCGTTTTTTCCCTCGGCCAACGACGACACCCTCTCTCGCTCCAACGCTTCACAACGCTACGTGATTATTTCAAAAAGCTCGGAGATACGAGACGAGCTTCTGTCCTCCTATATCGCTGCTGTCGTGTCATGCTAAAGCCACATTGCTGCGAAATATTTTTACGCTGTTCTGCGTACACCTTGTATATAAAAGGTTCTGCCTTTTCAATATCGGGGTCAACGATATGCTGGATGGTTTGTTTTCTAAAATATAGCGGGACAATACTTTATCCCGTAAAACATCGAAAGCACCAAAGCGTATACAATTTCGATAACTGATAATGGTTGCGATGATGAACAAATCTTGGTTTACGCAGACCTTTTTCAAAGTTGTTTTGATTAAAATTTGATGATATTTACGACACCGAATTAGAATAGCATATGATATATTAGAATACAAAAGAATACAAATATTTTTGCACTGATAATGTTAACAATCGGCTAGAATATTTGTGACAATGCCCTACTATTAAGTCCTATCAATATGAAACTTAATGAAATAAAATTTTTTGCCAAATATTTCTGTTACGATAAATATACTAAACGTTTACTTATTCCGAAAGAATTTTTAATCATTTGCACAAATTTTTACATACTCGTGAAATATAGAAAACGCACACGTGCAAGAAGGATAAAAATCTCGTTTTATCACACATCAGATTAAATAGATCGGTTACTATTATTAGATAAATGACTCGTGTTAGAAAGTCAACGCTACGTCATCTAATGATACTCACAAAGCCATCAGCACTAGTCGGTCTCTTCCTGCAGCCAGTGTCAATGTAATGTGTCAAACATTATGGCACCGCGTTGACCTTAAATCAGGCGGGCGCGCGTGTGGATTTATATAAAAAAGTGCATATGCATATCTCTATCTTTCTGTATCGCGTGAGTGTGTATATATATATATATATATAATATCTATTTCTTTTTTTAATATCTTTAAACCGCAATATACTTGGTAGCAACGAATATGAGTTAATTAACCGACACGACTAATTAAAAAAGAATAAAATATGATTATGAGAAAATGTGAATATGGAATTAAAATAAATGCATTCGTTGCTGTCGCAAGATTGTTCTTGCTTCTACTATTAAAAAAATGATTAAGACTTATATGGAGCTTATCGATCATGCAATTAATATCACTAATTAATTAATATCACTAATTGATTGGTCGCGCAACTTTTTCATTACACAAAATGAATAAAAGTACAAAGCTAGAGATATTTTACACACGCATGTAAATGTTATACACTTGAAAGCAAATTTTATCTATTTTATTTAAGCATTAAAATATGCCTCTTGTTGCAAAAATACCCTTAATTTTCTTTGTAAATTTAAAACATATATTCGTATATTCTATATAATTATATTATAATAAATATACTGAATATAATTGTTAATTTGTCTAAACTCACGTTTAATATAGTTATTGCATCTGTTTGTATATTCGTTTTTTTTTTTTTTAAAGTGATAATTCTCACATAAAGTTAGACGGATAAAATAATCTACAAAATGAATCGAAAATCTCAAGGAATCTCAAGTTAGACTAGAATTTTTATCTATTATATTTTTTTATAAACGTAAAATTATTTAATATAAAATATATTCTTTTCAATGAAGAAATACATAGAAGAGAATGTTAAGGACGTCATAATTTCATATAATTAAAGCTGAACAGAGAAAATAATAATGAGATACTAATAGATACGAGATGTTAACAGACACGTTCTATACAGTTGGCCAGGACTGCCGGTCGCGCTACCGTCACCAGCATCACCATCCGCGGTAATCGTCTCGCCGGAAACGCTGTCTAGACACAGCAGCAGCTCACCTTCTCGCGTTCACCGGCCACCCCAGTTTGCGTTGGCCCTACCATGCTCCTCGCAACCGATTCCGGCGGTCTGCTATCCGGCATCGACCTTTCTCGAGGTCACCGACGAGCGGAAGTGGAAGAACCTTGGCTGGTGAGTAGCGGATCGAACCTTTCTCCATTGCATTGAGGTTGATGTACCTTCTCTTTCAACGTTGTGTGTCTAATCAAAGCTAATTTCCAATATTATACGTGATTATCAACGTTTTTTTAGCCTTTGTATGTCGCTAAAATTAAATATACATATGACATTATTACGATGCATGTAATTATATCATACGCATGCGCGTGCAATAATCTCGTGTGTAGCAACGGTGCTTAGGTAACGTCATTAATATTAATTGAATCATTAAATCCAGAAATTGATAGTTTATTAATTATGTGTGCGGATTTATGGTATTATTTACTAATATATTCGATTTTGTAGCAATAAAAGTAACGGAGCGATTTTAAAGCTGCAATTGCAACGTTACTTTTATTTATAGAATTATTAATTCGATGAAATATAACTGTAGATATCGATATGATTGTGCATAATAAAATTGCGCGATAAGCTTTGTGAAGTTAAAATGAATCTTTTATCTTTTCTCATATAGTCCGATTTTGTCCCTTAATCGTATATTTCGCCATCAGGATTTGCGACTTTTAATTCGCTTTCGTTCTCTCTGATGTACGCGAAGGGGGAATACCGATCGCCACGGAAATTTCACGTGATCCTCCAGGTTATCCTGACCGACGTCTGCACCGCAATTACCGGCACTTTATATGAATCAAACACACGCGTACAGGCGACCACACGATTACTCGTAATTGAGCCAATTCTTACGGGGGTGGATGTATTTGCGGCCAATGGTACCTCTGCTGTAACGTTACACGATGATAGACATCTAACGATTCATCATTCGCGCGATTGTCCTCAATCTCCCGTTTTCAATGATTTCTTCGAGAAAAGATGTTTTCTATCTAGGTCAGGGCCGAGAAAGGATCTTAAACACAGGCAGATTTTGTGACGTGAAAAAATTATAGCAATTATTTTTATTGTCGATCGAAATTAATAAAACTAAGTTGTGGCGAGATGCGTAAATTAATCGGATATACGTACGTATATAAAGAGAATTGTTAAGTTCACCTGATGCGGTTCGTCGATTTTAATTTCTTTTCGCTGATAAGGGTTTATAAAATACCTCGTCAGTACATTTCAAATAGAGATCCGTTTGATAGCTGGCAAACTGAATACGTGATTTCTCAAAGTATGACCGGAGATGGATCTATTTCCTCGAGCGAGGATTTAATCCGCGCGCAACGTGAATCCACGTTTCGTTCAGCTTCAATTTCCGTTTTTGATGCAGCGACGCCCTGGCGACCACTTTGAGCGCGCTGTACGGGAAACTTCTGGTTGTGATGGGGATCGCCTTTCCCATGGCGGAAGTAATATCCACGTACATACCGCCGTCTTTCTACGAGGCTTTCTACCTCTACCTCTACTTCGGCAGCATGATCTTCCTCGTGTACATGTACGCCATGCTGTTCGGGGACAGCAAGACGAAATCAAGTGAGTCGAAACGTAAAAGATTTAGTACCCGATCACAATCCTCGTCCGGGATCTATCGTGATAAATATTTCCGACTCGTAGAAAATATCGATTCGGCTGTTACGAGCACTCTGTGAATTCACGCGTATACGAATGATTTTGCTCAAGTATACATAGATACAGATTTGAAAATAATTTCGTTTATATAGCCCATTCCACCAATCTTGATTTCACTTATTTTTTATCTATTATATACCTATCCGACATAATTATTTTGGTAGTCCAACAAAATTATTTTCAAGTCTATAGCTAAAAATTTTTAGATACTTTAGCAAAACCGTCTTTCGGCCGTGTAGAAGTAGATAAAGCTTGCAGACCATCGCTTTGGCAATCGCAGCCTTACAAACCGATCAATCCACATATTCACGCGCACGGTGACGCAACGTTATATATGTATATCATTAGGATGACCTCGCTTTCATTTGATTCTCGTCAAAATTCCTCTCTCGGTCGGTAGCGATCGTCAAAATGAGAACGAATAAGGCGATACCGAATGGAACGATTGTTGCTGCGTAACAACCGATTGCAATTAACCGGTTCTCGTTCTATAATAAATCGTAAATTCGCGGAATAGAGAAGCAGAAAGACGTGTGCGATCTGGACTCGTCGAGATCGTCGAGCGGCGCCGGCGGCGACAGTGACGCGCCTGAGAGCGGATGCCCGTACGTGAATCCGGTACGTCCGGTCCAGCACTACGGTAGCTTCTATCTACGAATGGGTGCCGTGGCGTTCGGCATCGGCTCAATGATCTACTCCGGCTTGGAATTCGGCCAGTACTTTGAGTTGGAGCAAAACACCAAGTGTCACAACATCATGCTGGCTCTCACACCTGCCACGAGAATGGCCTTCATCTTCATCCAAATGTACTTCATATTCCTAAACAATGAGGTGAGTGGCCACTGACGTCTACATTCTCATGATCTTTCTTTTATAATGCGACAAACTCTCTTCGTCGATATTTTAGTTTAATTTTTCAATATTACGTATCTTTATAACTAAATTTTGGATGAAAATCGTATTAAAGTAAAATTTATTTAAAAATAATTTAAAAAGTATAATAGTAAATAACAACAAAGTTTATAAAAAAACAATTATTATATATATATATATATATATTGTATATATATATATATACATATATCCAGCAAATAAACTGGTTTCAGCAAATAACTTCAATTGGTTTATTAGTATAGAGAAAATGACTGCATTTCTTGAGAATCGCTGCATATATTATATCGGAAAACTCGATGGTGTAACTCGGGAAATCCACTGACGGAAGTACCGAGCTAGACGCAAGCTCGTCGGTTACGAGGTTAATGAAACAGAAGGGTGAACAACCCTGAGAGCAATAGTAGACTATATCTAAACGCTCTAGTGCCCTATCGCTATAAAGTGCTATTCTTTTTACTTTTAATATTAACGTCGTTCTACCGATTTAAACTCTTATTTATGTAACATTTAAAAGCATTAATACAAAAAATTTCTATTTAAAAAATTGCTGATGAAAAGGATATGTACTTGCAGGTAACTTGCTTCTTTTCTTCTCTGTCGTTAATCAAATCAATCAAATGTATATCTGTGTAGCACCAACATAAAAACGAATGTTGGTAACGAAATTATAATATATTAAAAAGAAATATATATATATATATATTAAAAAATTTTGATATAAATGTGTAAATAGAGAAAGCAAAATTATACATTATTTTGATAGTAAAAAAAAATAACATTGCCTTGTATTCTAGCAGATGAAGGTTTATCGTCATCGCGTTATTGCACGTTTTGGACTAATGCATATGATCGGCACGAATCTATCAGTTTGGCTGAACGTTCTCGTGCAAGAAACAAAACACGAGATCCTCACGTTTTATAATCCGGAGAACAACTCCCTCAGAATTTCCCACAGATTAGGTAAACGCTACTGAACGTAATCTTCCATTACACAATTCTATACGACCTGATCTGATTTTTAAATTTTCAGGCTCGAAAGGACTTCATCTCGGTGGTCACATGCATTCTCATCACGGAGAACACGTGCGATTGCCGCGCGGTCTCAAAGGACCCCATCACATGTTCGAATGCAGAAGGACGAATATAATGGGATCGTTGGTACAAGACGCCAGTCCTTTCCTTTTTCCGTGCACGATAGAATACAGCTTGATCTGCGCGGCTATTTTATATGTAATGTGGAAAAACATATCGAAAGTCGGCTTCACGAAGCCTGCAACGCCGCCGGGCTCGCGTCATCACGCACATGCCTATAGGTATAGTAACGATACATTCGCCTACGCTGTAGCAATAATACACTGCACTTACACAAGTACGCGAATAACAACCCGAACTAATTCCGCTGGCGCGCGGCTTATCGGACGAGTCGATTGTGAATAATCTTCTAACGCAATGAAACGCATAACAAATGGCACTCTACGTCACAAATTCATGAAATGAAAAAACTTTCAATTATTCGCAGGAAATCGCCTCATCATTATAGCGTGGATTGCGCCCGCGCGCACAAGGGCCTCTTCGTGGGCATTTTGATTCTAGTGCTGACCATAATCTCCCTCATCCTCTTCTTCGTTCTCATTTCACGGCCCGAGCTGATCAGCCTCGCCGTAACTGAAGTGAACGTCTGCGAATTAACGCTCTACGGAATGTCGACCCTGGCGACGATGATCGGCATGTTCCAGATGCGTAAGCTGCGCTACGATGGCGGCAGAAATCTGGAGCTCGACAACATCCTCCTGGTGGCCGCTCAGACCGGCATGTTCATCTACTCTACGTTCACCATCATCGGCGGTCACTTCACCCTACAAAAACACACGGTCCTCGTGCTGGTCACCGCTCTGGCCAGCGTCGTCCAGACTACCTGCCAGACCATTTTCATTCTAGACTCGTCGAGGCGCACTGTCGCCACCGCCGAGCAGATACGCAGGAAGCCGGGCAGAGAAATCGTGACGTTTCTATTAGTGACGAATCTGGCTATGTGGGCGATCAACACGCTGGAGAAGTCACGGGCGGAGTCGCATCCGGTGCAATTGCACTTCTACGGCTTGTGGGCGTGGACGATTATCACCCATGTCTCAATGCCGCTGGCGATCTTCTACAGATTCCATAGCACCGTATGTCTATGCGAAGTGTGGAAGCGGGCCTATAAGGTGAAACCAACCTACATGTGACGCAAGGGGTCCCGTGAGGTCATATGGAAGACCGGTGGGATTCCGCAGCGGCCTAAAAGTCAACTGTCGAGGCTTGACGCCATTGCGGAAAACGATCCGGCGTATTTCATTTGATCGAAAAAGACATCGAGTCACAAAAATGATTTTAAAGGGTCAAAATCCGTTGGGCAACGTAATAATTAAGAAATAGGCATCGATATCTTTAAACGGAACAAAACTTTTCTAATCCGAGCATGATTAATGCATTAATTATTATACGTACATGACAATTAATTCATACGCACATAATCTGTATCGATTTCAGGGTATATTTCGGAAAGTTAACGGTACATAATGAATAGATTCGCGTGTTCTCGATACGTAAATTGATCACAAGATTAAAGAAGAAGACGTCGGCAGAAAGATACTCGTAATAAACAGTAGGTTACTTCGTCATTTATCGACGGTCAGTGTTCTAGCTAGCCTAGTGCGAATTTATTTCGTCGGTATAAATATTGGTGACTGCATAGTTTACGCAGCGCTATTGTATAAGTCTAACACAGTAGAACTATAACATACTGGGAACCATCGTCAAAACAAACGAGCCGGGGATTGTGCTTTTTCTTTATCTAACGTCCCAGATAGCAAAATGTTAAAGCTCATTCACACGATACAATTTTTTTTACTGGATCGGTCGTTTTGCCAAAAAAAAAAAAAAAAGAAACTGCATCGTGTGAACGAGCCCTTAGCAGTTTGTTGACAGATTGACAACAAATTCAGATTCTTATTGTAGATCCATAACTATCTGTGCATTAAACTCAAGATCTGTTGAAAAAATCTGCTGATATGCTGTACATCAGATTGATGACAGAAACCAAGCAACATCTGCGTGTACGGATACTCTGGTTGGTAAATTGACAACGGTGAAAACAAGAGCTTTAAATCTTACTCGGTTTCTGCAAGTTTCGCTGCGGCAAAGCAATAGGCTTTGTCCTATTTTTGGTGGCAGTTTAGCGATATCATTAGATATTAGAAATTCTGTGTGAATTTTGTTGCTTTTCTGTCAACAGTTAGTTTCTTCCCGCCCTTATAAGCTTTTCAGTATGTTAGAGTTTACTGGTCTAGTATATTATACTTTCTAAACACTGTTCTAAAATGGATTCGCCGAAAACAATCGTATAATTCGCGTCAAAAAAACAATTTTAATAAATTTCAAAAATGCGTATTGACTGTGACAGTCTATTACTGGTAAGCCGATTTATCAAAGTACGATATTATGTATGGTCTCCTCGATACCTACTCGACTAGTTTTTAGAGATTTCGACGTAAATAATCTCATTATCCCATTGATATATTTGTGAATAGCCTCTGACTTCACCGCGCTGAAAAATCGACATGAAGAGAAAAGATTTGCAAACCACACGAATGAGCTTAGCAAAATCGCAGTATTCACGCGATAAAGAGACATTACGTGCTGCATTGATGTCTATCGCTTGCTATTATCGCAGCCTTTGCCATAATCGATAATTCTACAGAGCAAAAATAACAGAACAAGAATCACTGTATACGTGAATTTCATTCGATAAAAGAGAAAGTGATAGCAGTGAATAAACGATTCCATTCGTATCTCATATCGATTCCGCAATATCATTCGAATTGATGAAATATAAGGAAAGCATTTATCTATTATATGAAAGAATATCTTGAGAAGTGAAACAATCAATTGTACTTTTCACAATCTGACAAGTTACACAGTAAAAATATTGTATTTTATATTGAAACCGGTCCTTATAAACTAATAAAATTTTCGTGTTACATACCCGAGTGTTTACTTAACGTAATGCGTTATTTAAAATATTTTGTGTTAAAAGATGTTCGATATTTCTTAGTTTTAAAATAACAATTTATAAGTAAATATTATAAAAATTATTAATATTTTGAAATATATATATATATATATACACACACACACAAGTAAATTTTAAGATAAATGAATAAAATATAGATATGCTAATTTATAATATATTATGAATACATATTAATTTTACCGAAAAAAAAAAATGCTTTCACAATTTTCTTCTAAGTTGTGCCAATAGTAATTTTTTGCGTTAATTTTTTGAATATGACATTATATTTGTGTAATATACTTTCTAACATATTTTTCTTGTTAAATTAATACAAAAATTTGAAGGGACCGTTTGGAACACATGAAATGTGTTATAAACTTAACAGAAATGTTGAGAAAATTTCACTGATATGATGAAGGATTCAATAATAAATATTAAATCCGATATCTCTGCTATGATACGTACATTCTAATTGTTCTCTTGTATTATAGATTTAAATGACAATTTTCTCAATTCAGTCGACCAAAATAATTTAATATAGAGGAACGTAATTAAGCATTATTTTTGTCACATGTTTGAATTAACATTCGCTCAAATATCTGAACCTATGATTGCGTAGGTGACAAAATGTTCATTCGTTAAAAGTAGAAAAGGCTAGATTTTTCTTAGAACCAATCGAAGCATTCGGCGTAGGTCTTCGATCCAATACGGGAACAATGAATCTTCTTCATTTGATAAACTTTTGTATTCATTCTGAGTAGACGAGCGAGAGTTGGAGAAAAAAACTCCCTTTTCCGCAAGACTGAAATGAATGTCAGAAGAATGATCAGAGCGTAAATTCTGATGTGCTATGAACCGATCGAATCGAATCCTCTAACTGTGTGTAACCTGAATGTTTGGTGCTCGTATAATTCAAGGCGCTTGGACACTCTCACGGATATCCGTCTTCCACGTAGTACAAACTGCAGTTTGAACAACAATTGTCGTGTACATGTAGATGACTCGAGAACCAAAATAGCGACAGGGAAAATAGATTACGAGTATGTTCAATAGCGCAAACAATAAATAGAACACTATTAAAATAAATAGGATACTATAGATTTTTTTATGATAAATAAAATAATAAAATTATCGACAATATTATTACATGAGACAATTACATAAATACAAAGGAGGAACAAATCTCGCAGGAATTAAAAATATTTTAATACTGACAATATATGAAAAAAGAATTAATCTACTTTCGGTTTTCTATTTAACAAACTCGAAATCTTTCTTAATTCTCTCGATTCGCACCACGAACTTGATATTTTCGAGCGACTTGCAATGTCCATATATAATTCAATAAAGAAAGAAACACCCATATAGATATTATTAAATACCCTGAAACAAAATTTAACTCGAAGAATAGTTTAGTCCTTCCATATTTAAAAAGAAATATACGCACAAGAAAATTTATAAATATAATTTTAGAAATATTATCGTAGAAAAATCTACTTGTAAAAACGGAAATAATTAGTATCACTGTTACGATCGTGATTTATAATACACGGACATTTTATTATCGACGTTGAATTGTATTATCAAATTAGAAACTTGTTTTACGTCAGGCTCAAAAAACTCAATGACCGCAGTATCAAATCGATAAGCGAGGAGTATCTATCGTATGATTTTCAAAAGTAGAGCGATAGAAATGAAAAAAGTGAAGACGTTTGAAATAAGAATACAGAGTACAATGGCTAATCATATCATTAAGCCTTGAATCCGTCAAGAAGAGTGCTGTCCGAGCTGATAAAGGGGATCAAGATCGATTACGATCGACATGCAAATTCGAAATTAGAAGCGACCTATAACTCGAATTTCTTTCATGCTCAACTGACAGATGTGAAGATGAGATTATAGAAGTGAAAATGAGCGAACGAATAAATTGACGTGTGTGGTCGTGCATATATGCGTGTGATTCGTGTGTATGTGTGCTTTGCGAATGATGCATGCCTGCACATGAAACAAGAACAAAGACAGAGAGAAAGAAGTCGAGATTTAATGGAAACGTAGGCGTTTATGAGTAATACGTGTGTTTCGTGCTAGAAGGCTTTGATATCGATTATCGCCGTTGCGAATTCTAGTTATCCGGTCGGTGCAGTCGATCTTTTGTAAGATATAGTTTCTTTAAGATGGCTGTAAATAAACGGTGGAGAATATACACAATAAAAAAAAGCGAATTCTCTCGGTGTTTAGCGCTAGTTGTGTCGACATGTTTCTTCCTATAACATATTTATGTATATGTATATATATATATATATATATAATATAAATATATACATACATACACATATTTATATATACAAGATATAAATATATTTATTATTACGTTGTTCTATTATATAATATTTATTATAATCTGACATAGGATTTACGCGCGACATGTTACGTTTATTGAGAATCCCGAGGACTCATGCCGAGATCCCATGTCCATTCTTTCCTTCACTTACTTCGTCTTACGCATGTAACCAGTCAGAATACTGCAAGAAGCGATATAAAAAATGCAAATTAGAAATTCTAAAAGTCGATATTAAATAATGCCTAAGCACGCCAATAGCAAATAAATAATGTTTTAGATTCAATCGTTACAGCCTAATTATATTTATATAATTAATGATCTCTCGCTCTCTACATCTTACTTCAAATGTTGCAAGAGAAAGCCTTTTGCAGTAGATTCGTCCTTTTCGCATAGACTTTTCTCGTGCACATTGTTAACGCGTTTACGATCTCGGCATGAATCCTGTCCATAAAAAGATAAAATCAGGGCGAAATCACGAAGAACGCAATTCACATTTGCGAGTGATATAAGAGGAGAGAGAGAGAGAGAGAGAGAGCAAAACGAGGAGGTCTCTCGCTATATCACATATCTGAACTGTACTTTTTCTATGTCCGCATAATCTAGTTCCTACGCAATGTTTGTACTCTTATACCCTTTATACTATTTGTACCTTATGAATTGCAATACACTCGTCCGCAATAATGAAACGTTCCTTTTTATTTATCACCATTCACGATTATTTTTTCCGAGAAAACCGCAATATTAATCTTCATTAAATTAAAAAGTATAGATAATTTCAAATTGACAAAAATGAAACAAGATTTAAATGTACGCAATTCAAGCCTACTTAAAATCGAACTTTCTATGTAATAGCTTGCTTCGTACTACAACAGCCAGCCATTAACAATGCAACGACGATAGGGAATAATTCAAATAGCAGAGAATCATAGCAGAGTCGACCTAAATACCCACGATTCCGAAGTTGATTCCGCGAACATGATCTCTCAATGTTGCAGAGACAAACCTTCCACGGATCCAAGGTCATCCGATGATCGACTTTAATTATAATTATATTTTCATATTATAAGTATTTGTTTCTATACTATTAAATTATTTCTGCTAATTAAATAAATACTATTTAATGTGTATATCCGCATAGAATACAAATTAACAGTATTACGATTTCCTACTTCACAACATAATTGTTATATACAATATATGTGTTATATTTTATATTATTACATTTATATTGTTGAGTGGGAACAATAACAAACAATGTAATGTTATTATGCGGATATAATTTATAATGTTAAACAGATTTAATATTAGAAATACACATTCTCTCATAAATTAATTTATAGATATTATTGTGGGTTGCTTACAAAATCATTATAATAAAGTATTAGTATCAATCGTAATACTAACAATAACATACTATCTGAAGTGTAAACTACTAATATATCTTTT